GTGAAAAATTAAAGAAACTTACTCAAGTTCAAAATAAAAAATTGATTGAATCCGCCGTCACCATCAGCTACTTGCAGGTGCACAGTTATACATCCTAACACATTAATACATTATTTTTCTGAATATATTCTCACACACCATTTATACATAAAAAACGCTAGTCCGATGCTTATTGATTGTGCATGTGTAACAAAAAAAAAATTGCTGTAACTATTGGCTATAACATAACTGGAAATCATTTCTTTAGTATATTTGTAAAAAAAAACCCATATATTAGGATCTGATTTTCTTTTTTTGAGGAGATGAGTTCGGAGAGTTGTTTGAAAAAGCCAAATTGTCTTCTTGATATATATAATCACGTTTTCGTCTTAATTTTGCATGTTTAACGTTTAGAACCGTGCAGTAATCCGTTAATTTTTTCAATCGGTGCTATATGAAATTTGATCTGATAAGTATGGTGAAATACATATATCGATAAGGGAGTGAGTGAATAACAGACCTCCAAAGAACGTAACATCGTATGCACTGCTTCGTATGCGGGCAACTCTTTTGATGAGGCAGGCAAAGATACCTTATCAATAATTCCGAAACGATAAATTCCTGAAGTTCGGACATCCATTGCGTAAAAATTCATTTGTAGGCCTGCAACAAAAAAATGTTAGTAGTCTTCTATCAGAGATTTCTATGTACCTTAAAATATATTTACCAATTACTTGGCACCCGAATACAATGACTTTCATATAATCTGCTGGCGGTAGACCAGGAAAGGTCTTCATTACTCTGTTTATCATGTCCCGCATTCCAATCATTAATTTCAGCTTATCTGTCCAAATTTTTTTGGGGCATCCTGCTGGAAGTCCTCCCGAGACTTCACAAATGAAGCCTTCTAAAGCTGGACCTGTCGGCAAAACTATTATAATATCGGTTTTTTGTCCAGCGCGTGCACGCTCATCATTGGGATCTTGCTCTTGCCTACGTCTTTCCTGGCTTGCAACTAGTTGTTGCTCGGACCTGAAGTTCAAAAATATGATGTTAAGATGAATGAGATTACTGATATGCAAGCCAGAAATAAGGCAGAACCTTTAAAATTTACCAGAGTTTTTGAAATTTTTCTTGATTTGGATCTAGGCTCATCCTGAAGGCAGGGGCAACAAAACAGATCATAAGTTTCCCCCTCATTAATCGGCAATTTGAGGTGTTCAATATACGACTTTAATATCGTAAGATGGGCATTTAGTATAGGTAATGCTTGCTGAGCTTTCAAGTCCTATAAGAACACGTGGAACAAGGAATTAATAGAATGAAAGTGATGACTAAAAAACATGTAACACTGTAAATACCTCCATATTATCAAAAAGATCATATTCGGATTGGTTAAGATTAACCATTTTCCATCCTATGTCAAGTCGAAAATCGTTGACTAGATCATTCCATTTTGTGGAAAACATTTTCTTCGTTGGCTTATGCTGTCCCGTTAAATCGAGGACTCCCCAATACTGTGGACTTCAAGGAAAACGAAGATATAAGTGAATTTATCGCAAACCTCATCCGCAAAATCCTTATATAGGAATACTTACTGGACTTCGTAACTTGTTTTCGGTAAGGATTTGCGAAGGGAACTAAAACATTTTGCTATATCAATTTCATCAATCGTAAACGAGTCCCAACTCTTTTCTACTGGATCTACTGGAACTCTAGATTTTGGAGGTGGTGGTATAGGTTCCTCTTCACCTTCAATATAGGCTAAGTCTACGTCATCCACAAGTTTATCGAAATATTCCGGATCTTTCGCATAATCATCTTGTGTGTCTTGTGGAGGACTTAATAGGACTGATTTTTCGCCAGTATAATCCGTATAGTCATTTTTTTGAAGTTGAGATCGGGTGACATCACGAGGGAAAAAATGGTCTATTTTTGCACATTTCGTTTTTTTGTGATCGTCCTAAAATAGTAAAACGCAAATAAATGACTCCCGCTCGCAAGTTTAAAAAAATATATATATTTTTACCTCTTGATCATGTTTTTCGTACGTTCCGGAATTGAAAGTTCCATACTTAGTATTTCCGCTTAAATTAAAGTTATTCCCTCCATTTGTGAATGTTGGTTGATTAATATAAAACAAAGGTTCATCAATCATTCCGTCTGACTTATGTTCCTCCTCCCAATCTCTTGCTAGGTCATTGTCTGGCCCCTGAAATAGAAGATTTTGGATCAGTATATCCTTAAATATCACGTTCTCATTTTTTTAATCCCTCCAGGCAAGATCGAAGACGTAACAACAGACAAGCTCGTAGGGTCATCTGTGTTCGTGACTCGGTTCGATCAGACAAGCTCGTAGGGTCATCTGTGGTCTGCCTAACATCAGACAAGCTCGTAGGGTCATCTGTGTTCTGGAGGGGCTAGTATAGGTCGGCTCGTAGGACTTGAACACAGGCAAGCTCGTAGGGTCACCTATGCCCCACACTAACTTTGTGGCTCGGCTCGTAGGACTTGAATGATAGAGAAGCTCGTAGGGTCCTCTACCACGCCACTTGCAGTTCAACAAAAAAATTTTCACAAAAACTTTCTTGTCTATAATTCCTAATCAGCTGTTGCGCCTTTTCCTTCCTTCGGCTCTCCTCTGTATTGGCGATATCTTCAAGAGACAAAAGGTAACACTTTATTTTGTTTCTAAACGGTTCGATGTTACATTCATCGAGGAATCCAAGAATATTCCATTCTGACACTTTTCGCTCGAAATATTTATGTATCTGCTTTTAAATATATAAAAAGAAGATAAATTATCATTGTTGGGCCCGCAAAAAACCGAAAAGTTTGTACATATAACTCATACTTTAGGTGTGGTGGTGCACATTTTTTTATTGTATAAAGACTACGATTATCGAAGCATGACTGAATTTCTTTATGATTGGCCACTATTTTGATAAACAACACTAACTGTGATTGGTTAGAATTTTTCAC